TTTCTAGGGCTTCATGCATCCCTTAAAACCCATCAATAACTTAACACCAAAACAAACAAACAAACAACTCAATCAATAAACTGAACAGACTGAACTGAACAGACACTTCTCAGAAGATGATATACAATCAATCAACAAATAAATGAAAAAATGTTCAACATCTCTAAATGAAGATTAAAACTACTCTAAGATTTCATCTCACTCTGGTCAGAATGGCCGTTAGCAAGAATACAAGCAACATTAAGTGTTGGTGAGGATGTGGGGGGGAAAGGCACACTCATACACTGCTGGTGGGACTGCAAATTGTGCAACCATTATAGAAAGCAGTATGGAGATTCCTAGAAAACTTGGAATGGAATCACCATTTGACCCAGCTATCCCACTCCTTGGTCTCTGCACAAAGGACTTAAAATCAACATGCTATAGTGATTCAGCCACATCAATGTTTATAGCACCTCAATTCACAATAGCTAAACTGTGGAACCAACCTAGATGCCTTCAATAGATAAATGGATAAAAAAACCTGTGGTATATGTACATAATGGAGTATTACTCAGCCTTAAAGAAGAATAAAATTATGGCATTTGCTGGTATATGGATGGAACTGGAGAATATTATGCTAAGTGAAGTAAGCCAATCCCAAAACACCAAAGCCCAAATGTTTTCTCTGATAAGTGAATGCTGATCCATAGTGAGGGGGGATATGGGAAGAATGGAGGAACTATGGATTTGGCAAAGGGAAGGGAGGTGAGGGGGAATGGAAGAAGAAAATATGGTGGAATGAAACGGAATCATCATCCCTAGGTACATGTATGTTTTCAAGGATGGTGTGACTCCACATCATATACAACTAGAGAAATGAAAAGTTGTGTTCCATTTGTGTACAATGAATCAAAATGCGTTCTGCTGTCATGAATAACTAATCAGAAAAGAAAGAAAGAGAGAAAGATTCTTGGATCCAATCTAATCTAAAGCTAATGCATTTGCTCTCTCCATTTCATTCATTTAGTTACCTATCCAGTCATGGAGTAAACATTTATTGAGGCTTACAATATGCCAAGCACTCTCCTAAGTACTTTGTAGTCTTATGAATCATTTCCAGGACACTTTGGGGAGACCAGTAGGTTATGGAAGAGTGAGTATTGTTCTCTGTACTTGGACACAGAGCAATTCTATGTCCTGGGGAGAGATTCTCCTTGCTGCAGAAAGTGAGCTGCCTAGTTTGATGCATTTCTATAACATCCTTTTCTTCTAGATGCACAGTCCTGTGTAGGTCTGTGAAAGCCTTTTGCCTAGCAATATGGGGCTTTGGAGAAGACACAGGATTCCAGGTCAGTACCATTTCCCAGCCACATAAACTGGATAAGAAATTTCACCTAACATTTAATTTCTTCCTCTGTAGGATAGAGCTAATAATCATGACTACCTCACATTAACTCTCTCTGGAAATATGAAGTAAAAAGTAGTAAAATGAGAAAATGGAGATAAAAGCATTTTGTAAAAAAAAATAATAAAAGCATTTTGTACAAAAAGATGATGATGGTGATGATTATCATCATTATTGTTATGCCATTGTTGTGGAAAATCAGATCCATATGTTCACTTTTGCTCTATAGAATAACAGAAAGGTGAGAGCCCACTCATAATCTGGGTTCCAGCTTTCTCCTTTACTTTGAATTGAACTAAAAGTTGCCGGAATAAATCAGATAGCACTGTTTCAAAACCATGAGACCTCTCACATCAGCAATCCCCTGGGTGGGAGACAATCCCTCAGCCTCTAATTTGCAGCTATAAATCACCAAATGTGATGAATTATATGTACACACATTCACATTATAAACTATAACTTCCAGATGTTTTTAAAAATGAAAGTTTAGTTTAATTACCCTTCTTGGGAGTGTCTTATAAAGATCTTTGCCTGTAGTATTAGGATTCTTTTGGTAGAAAGACAACTCTACTTGTCTAAGCTTCCATATGAGGAACATATGTTCAAGATACCAGAGGGTCCTATGGATCCCATGAAGTGGGACAAGTTACCTGGCCATCGGGAAGGGCACTGTTGGGAGTCAGAACCTCAGAGCACTTTTTCTACTTCTGCTTCTGCTTCTCTGCTTGGGATCCTCATATCTCTGCTGGCTCTTTATCATTAGATCAGCCCTCTCTGAACCTCTGACCCACATGGGATGCTGAAGATAGCTGTGCCTAACTCCCAACTGGACACGTTTGCACTCAATGTCTCAGATAGACCTAATCTATCTCTCTGTTCTGATTCCACGACCCAAGAGAAGAGACACTGGTCATGATAAGGAAAAAATTCTGAGATGTCCTAAATTTAATCATGAGGGTCAGAGGATGGAATGGAGGAGAGATGAAGAAGGTTAATCAATTAACATTACTGATTACTGTTATTGTTGCAAAGGAAAATATCAGGAGTTTTATTTTTATTTTTATTTTTCAGTGCTGGGTATCAAACTCTGGCACATGCGAGGCAAGAGCTCTACCACTGAATTATATTTTATATCCCCAGCCCCTGATCCCTGTATGTGAATGTATGTTAAAACCCGGACTCAAACTCCTCCAGGCTCCCCAGGCACCACTGCATCCTGATGTAATCAACCCAGAAGCAATCATTACTTTTCCCTTTGGACTGCCCTCTTATCCCAGAGCTGTCTCAAGCTCTTATCTATGGCCAAGTTAAACACAAACAACTTACACCCACCTTTCCCTAATTGTTTTATGCAAAAATGCTCTTAGCTCTGATTGGGGGACAATTTCCCAACTGTGCTCTAGCTCTGTTGCTAGAAGTTGTGAGAACTCATCCCAGGACCTGGTTTCTTTGTTGTTGTTGTTATTGTTGTTGTTGTTGTTGTTGTTTCTGGCTAGCATCTGTAATGGCTCCATAAACTCTTGTATTTCATAGATCCCTCAGTCTCAAGAATTTAGGTTTAATAGACTGAGTTGGATTTGATAGGGCCTAACAACAACCAAACACCCACTTTCCAACTCAAATTTTCAAACACTGGAGAAAACAGTAGAGAGAGGAGTGACCTGTTAACTTTATTATTAATAGAGGTGGTTTAAATGTGCTGCAAAGTGGGATTCCCCATGAGGGCAGGAGCCTTTATCTAAAGAGCAAGGAGAAGGGTAAAGCAAATGCAGAAAGCACACAGAAGCCGCAGGAGGGAGAGGCTGAGCTAAGCAAGCCCAGGACCTCACCTGGAACTCATTAATCCATCAGCTGCCCTGCGCCTCCTTCCTGGGAGGAAGGGGTGGAGGAGGCTCAAGTATCACAGAGGCAGGATCTCCACCACCTGGTTGAAACGTCCAGACCTGGGAAAGGAGGGTCTCCCCTCTTACAGAATTTACTGTTGTCTAATCAACTGCATTTGTGGGCAGTAGGGAAGACTGGGGACAGGCCTGAACCCTTTGGATAGGAGCAAGGAAGGGAATACTTATGAGCTGGCTGTGTACTTCATAAGGTGTGCACTACAGCCCTTCCTTCTTGGAGGGAAACGAGAACCCCTGGAAGGTTGTGTTCTGGCCTTGAGTTTGCTGCTGCCAGAATCCAGGCTGGAGGGAAGTGGAGACCATTGTACTAGTCTTCAAAGGAGGGGAAGTCTTCTATCTCTGTTCTTTTTAGCATAGTGGGGAGGATTTTCTGTTCCTTTCAGCCCTTATGGGCTTTCCACTCTTTCACTCTATGAGGAGTTTCTTGAGGTGTTTTGGTTTAGTCTAGCATGAGTTAAATGAGATGGAGTAGACACCTCTTGTATTTGCTGTATTATGAACAACTGCAATACACAAGCTAACTGTATGGAGGGTTCTGTCCTACTGGGACAGGACAGGAATATAGATGTCTGTGACTCTGACCCCATCATGCACAGCCACTAGGGGTCTAGACCCTGGGGCTGGGCTGGAAAGTGAGAAACACAGACAGTGGCTATTACATAGAAACCTCATGTGAATTTAGGAGAAAAGAAAAGACATGTGAGGCTGTGGCCTCCCGTGTGGTCATGACCAGCAAATAGGACTATGTCTTCATGTCCTTGTAGATGTCGAAAGGTACAAAATGAGGATGAACCTGTAGCCTTTGTCCTGGTTTCTTTTTCTCCTGGGCCACCCACTGAGGGCATGATGCTGCATCTATGACCAACCTAGCTCCACAATGGATCCACCATGGCTCATTGTTCTTAGCACTTTGCTCAAGTTATTGTGCAAATCAGACCCTTTGGCACATGATTTTATTCCTTGAGTTGGGAACAAACTCTTCCTAAGGCCTACAGGCCCTGTGGGATCTAGCTCTGCCTTCCCCTCACACCCAGCCTGGGCGTGCTTCTGCCTGCTCAGCCATCTCTGCTGCAGCCACACTGCCAGCCCTGTGAACCAGGAAGCCCCCTCCCTCTCACCTCACAGCCTATATGAGCTCTCCCCACACTTCTCCCCCTCCTCTTATTTCATTGATCTGACTCCTAATTCTCATAGAACTCTCAACACAAATGTCACTTCACCAGGAAAGTCCTTCTCAATCCCTAGGACAGGCACCAGAGCTCTCATTGCTTCTTGCAGTTATAACTGTACATCTCTGTGATTAGTTGATGAATGTCCATCTCCCCACCAGAGAATAAGCTCCATGAGAGCACCCTATGTGCAGCTTTGCTTTCCACACCATCCTCAGTATCAGGCATACAGATAACAGACTGTCAATTTACACAGCACAGAGGTTAGAAGTTGTTATGTACATGTATGAATATGCCACAGCAAGTCACATTTTTTGTGTATATATAATGCACTGATGAGAAAAATCAGCAAATAAAAGGAAGACAGTAAAGTACAGGAAGGAGAAGAGTGGGAGGGAGGAGGAGAGGAAAAGAGGAAGCTCTGGAGACTGAAATGGAGCAAATTATATTCTGTGCATGTGTTATGTCAAAAGGAACCCCACTATTATGTGTAATGATAATGCACTAATAAAACATTTTTTTAAAAGTTCTGGATTTGAAGTGTCATTTTCTGGGTTTAACTCCCACATCTATTACTTAATAGGTGAGTCTCAGCATGCTCATCTGATACAAGCATATAACAAGTTATTTATCTCATAGAATATTGCAAGAAATAAATTGTTGCATACATGCAAATTTCTTAAAACAGCACCTGGCAAAGCAATATGCATTCAATAAATGTTAATAATAAATGGAGGGTAAAATGTTCCCAAAGGGAGGAGAGACAATGACTCCTTTTACAACCAAAGACAAGAAAGATCATTTTTTTCCATCTTGCTTCTACATTATTTTCTTAAATTTGAATTCTGCAAATTCTGAGTGTTGAATTAGGGTGCTTAGTCTCCTAGCAAAGCCCCCACAGAGTACACAAACAATACACTCACAGAAAAGATTACAGCGATGAAAGAAATGAGCCCATCCATATTTATGCAGATGATAAATTCTGAAGTCAGACTGTAATACAGTTTTGTGTAGCAAGTAACAGCTATGATTCAGGTGCTTCTAAACAGGAACTAGATGAATGTGGGCTTGCAAGCCTGTAGTCATCTTTCCCCAATTGAAGGGCAATATGAAAATGAGCTTCACTCAGTGTTCATCTTCTTACACACATATTCTTTCAATTTGTTTCTTCAGGGAGCAAGGTAGATTCATTGAGAAATATAATAGGTATATTATCAACCTGGGCTCTAGCTCATTAGATTGGTTTATTTGCTTCATTTTGATCCTTCTGGCCCATGGGAGGAACTGAGAATGCTGTCTTCTTGTTATTTAATAGAATCTCCAAACTTCTTTTTCCAGTACATTCTATTATGGAGAGACAAGTATGGTATTAGTTCTGACATGCTTCCTGTACTAAAGGAATTTACCTTTGATTTAGCCTCGGGCTAGAACAATTTGTGGCACTTGTGTGACATTGCTAGTCTACTGTAGAACTTAAGAAGTTGAGGCAGGTGTGGTGGTGCATACCTATAATACTAGCAGCTCGGAGGCTAAGGCAGAAGAATTGTGAGTTCAAAGCCAGCCTCAGCAATTTTGTGAGGCCTTAAGCAATTTATTGAGACCCTGTATTCAAGTAAAATATTAAAAGGGCTGGAGATCTGTCTCAGAGGTTAAAAAGCCCTGGGTTCAATCCCCAGTACTCTCCAAAAAAGAAATTGATGAATCCTGATCTCCATTGAACAGCGACACAGTTAAATGCTTTCTAATTCCCATGTCTACTCCCTTCTTCCATTTTTTGATAGCTTTTCTTGCTGCCTACATGGCAGAAACATGACTGTTGACATTGATTTATGGTTTTCAGTTTCTTTTTTTTTTTAAGAGAGAGAAAGAGAGAGAGAATTTTTTTTAATATTTAATTTTTAGTTCTTGGTGGACACAACATCTTTATATGTGATGCTGAGGATTGAACCCGGGCCTCAGGCATGCCAGGTGAGCGTGCTACCGCTTGAGTCACATCCCCAGATCTATGGTTTGCAGTTTCACCAAACTCCAGAATAGAATGATGTACTCTCTAGAGCCCTAGTACAAAATTCCCACAGAAATGCTCTAATTGACCAAATTAAATCATGCGGCTCACTTGGACAAATAGGTAGGACAGGGTGAAATACATTGAAGAATATGTAGGGATGTGGAGTTGAAATGACAGGCAGGCAAAGCAATGTGCCCATCCAATGTATACACACACCTGTCTTCCTACATGTTTCTGCCATGACCCTTATCACCCTTTCTGTCCACACACCCGAGTTCAAACACTGACGGAGCAAAGTGAGCAAAACAGACCCTGCACACTTGCTCTGATATGCAAAGACATATGTGTGAAGCAAATTTTGAGCCTTTTCCCCTCCATGTGAGTAAAACTACTTCATGATATTAGAGTAATAACATCTGGAAAGCTCCAGCTGGTTTTCTCCTCTGCCCGCCATTCCACAAATCTCTAGGGGAAAGAGATTTATATTTCCTTACAGTTATAAGGAAATGAGAAGAGGCCCCTCCCCAAGGGAATCACTGATTCAGTGGGCCCTTAGAGAATAAGGACTTTTTAACATTCTTTGTGATTCTAATGCATGACTAAGTTTGACTTGCTACCTTCATTATATTAATAATCATATTAGTGCTAGCAAATATTGAATTATATTAACATTAATATAATTAACTATTGATCCCTTTCTAATTACCAGGTCCTGGGATATGTACTTTATATACATTGTGTCATTTATTTTTTTCTAATCCATATCCAAACCCTAGAGATAAAGAGGCCCCTGGAAAGCTACATTCGTTTTTTAGGGCACTGGTTTAGATATTGGAAGACAAAAAAAATATGCTTTTCACAGTAAAAGTAACAATAGCTGACATTAATCAAGCTCTTGCTCTGCCAAGGTCACTGCTAAGGAGTTTACACTTGGCAGCTCCTCCCTGTGCCGCAGACCAGACTTCAGTGTTTTTACATGATGCATCAGTTTATGAGTTTATTCAAACAGCTTTTGTCAGCCGTCTACCATTCTGCAGCTACTGCCCAAGGACACCATACAACACAGAACCTTGCCTTTCAGAAGCTTATCCAGCATCCAAGGCCAAGGAAGTACCCTGGCCAACTTGGGTACTTTTTATTTGTAGTCTTGCCCAGGTTTATCATCTCCCAAATTCAAGGCCTTGGCTGAGAGTTGCTGCAGAGAGATCTGTCCCTGTTCAGACCTGACTACCCCTGGATCTCCTAGACCTTTGGTTCAGAGGGAATTACTTAAGGTGCTATCCATCTTCACAGCCCCAGACTTTTCTTATTCTCTCAAGTGGAGTCTCATGGGGCTTTGAAAAACCCAGATTAAACCTTTTGGTCAATCAAGTAGTAGCTGTTTGATACAGTATCTACACATTTTAAAGGTTTATGGGTAGAATGCAGGAGATCTCTGAACTTGGATGGGAGAATTTGAATTTTTAAATACATTAGCCTCTAACTAAAGTGACTCATTTCTTCAATTACATATATAGGCAATAAATCACAATAGTACTAACAGAATCTGTGACTTTGTCACAAATACAAATTAAATATTTTCATATATTACTTGTAGATATAAGTAGTATTATTTATATTCATTCATTACTTCAATATAATGTTAGACTTGCTGCTGGAACTTGTTACTTAACACATGAAGAACATATTTGTTCTTATAATACACATTTGTTCAAATAACACATAAAGAAGCATATTTGTTACTATAACACAACTATATTTTAAAAACTACTCCCATAATCTATATTCCTAGTTGGTTTCCTTTGTAATTCTGTATTTTTTTTTAAATTCACTTAGAAACATTATTCCCAGAGAGTTAGTAGGTTCCACAACACACACAAAGTATCCCACATATCGCTTTGTGCTAGTGCATGCTATGCAACTTAGAGAAATATCAGATGTTTGATATTCATAGAAGAGATATTACAATACTGTCAAAATTATCTAAATTCCAAACATCGCCAAAGTGCATCAAGTATGAATCTCAATACACAAACTGAAGTATGCAAGAAATTCAGTTGTTTTCATAACTTAATTCCTATTATAAGCCTCTTTTATAATAAGGCAGAAACCTAGTATCAATTAATTAAGGATGACTTACCTTTGAGTGGTAGAACTGTAGGACCCAGGCACTGTGGGACAGGCTTTATCTGTGCCCTCTCCTCTGCTTTAGTAGTCAGTCTCTGGCACCACAGGTAGACACTGGTTACCTCCTGGAGTTGTCTCTGACTTCTGGACCCTGCCAGGTGTGTGGATGTGCTCATCAGCATTCTGCTACTGTTACAAACACTCGAGAGAAGTGTTTGTAACAGTAGTATAATGAGGAAAGATTTATTTTGGCCACAGTTTTGGTTTCAGAAGTTGCAGTCGGTAGTAACTTGGCTCCATTGCCTTTGGCCCTGTAGTGAGCGGAACCATGAGAGTGCACAGTGGAGGAAGCCTCTCACCTCATGACAGCCAGAAAGCAAAGGAAGGGAAAGGAGGGCTGGGGACCCTAAAATCTCCTGCAAGGGCTTTCCCCTCCAAGGACTTCACTTCGGTCCTTAGACCCCACTTCTTGAAGGTTCCACCACCTCCCCAAAGCTCCATAGACTGGTGACTAAGCCTTTTACACCTGGGCCTTTCGGGTTCCCTTATCCAAATTATAGCAGTGGGGAACATCCTGCTCTTCTTGAGCCATCCCTACGTCTCTTTCCTTTTCTGTCTTAGTCCATTTTTTTGGAAGCCCCACATAGCTTTCCTACTCTGGGCTCTCACCTTTTTCCAAGGCATAATCAGAAGCTGGGCACAGCTGTGCTTTCCTCTCACATCTCCCAAACCTATCTGGACTTATGTCAGCTCCCACTCCTAGAATTTCACCCACCTGAGCTTGGGCTCGTTGGGGAGAGATTAAACAGCCACCTTCCCAGACACACACT